ATGCATAGATGTGATTGATTAAATCAGTGGTTACTGGTGATTGAGTTGAATGTCTAACCAAGAACAGGGACAAATACTGAATATTCTTTCATACTCCCTATCCCCAGCCCTCAGGGTCTTCCCTAGTCCTCAAACTGCCTTCCACGTGGCTACTTTTTCATTTGCCACTTTTTCAAGCTCAGGTGGCTTGGCCTGTAGTTTTCTTTCAGCGAACTCCTCTTCATGTCTCAAAACCCTTGCCAGCAGCCCCCTCATCTGGGAAGCCTGCCTTGGAGGGGCCCTCCCTGCCTGAGAGTTCCCTCCCACTGGGGAGGGGGGTCCCAGTCCACTTCCAACTCCCACAAACCGAGGCCCCTTCAGGGTGAGGCCTGGACCCAGAGTCTTAAGCCCCCATTCTTCAAGGTCAGGCCCTGTCTCCTGCAAACATTCCCAACTATCCACCTTTTGGGCCAGCTCCAGTGGTGGAAATTTTCCGGCCTCCAGGCGCTTGTTTTGGAAAGTTCCTGGGGGAGCTGCCCCGGCCTGCCCGCTGGGTTCCCACGCTCCCTTATCAGCACACATGAGGGGGGTGCCCTGCTGTGCAGGCCTCATTCTTCCCTTGCCTCAGCTCTGCCCTCGTGCCTGTCCCCTCCCCTTCCCAGTGAACAGCCTCCCACTCCGACCCACCCCTGCCAAGCCCTCCTGCTGCAGGTGGGGAAACAGGCCAAACAGGCCCCAGCCTGGTTGAGCCCCATGGGACAGAGTGACTTCGTCCCCTCTGAGATGGATGGGGCGGGCACAGGGAGCCAGGAGATGGGAGTGCCTGGTAGGGGCTGCTGCTCATGAAGTGGAGTAGGTGGCAGCGTGGCTCGGAGGAGATTCTGGCTTTGGAGTTCTGGTCCTCTGCCTCAGTTTCCCCTGCAGTGTCTCTGACCCAGAACCTCTAACCCCTCCCCCGGAGGCCCAGCTTCCCTGCCCAGCTTCACCCCCTGACTTGTGGCTCAGCTCCTGCTTATCCTCATTATCCTCTTGTAAAGGGGGAATAGGTGGCCATGTGCCCCTGAGGTCTGTGGAGCGAGCGAGGTGAACCAATACTCGAAGCGCTCGAGGACGCCCGGCTACTTCCGCCAGACGGGGACCCGATAGCTACAGTGGCTCCGGGTTGTCGGGCCTCGAACCCGGGTCTCCAGACGATGGGCCCCTCCCCTCCTCGCGGGAGAGGCGGGGGCGGGGGCGGGGGCGGGGCGGGGGCGGGGGCGGGGCCGGAGCGCTTTTCTCCGGAGGTCGCGCGCCCGAGAGCCCGCGCTGTCCGCTGCCGCTGCCTGAGCCGACTCCGTGCCGGTGAGTGTGGTTCGGGGTGGGGGCGGCCTCCCTGGGGACCCAGGCCGGCTTGGCCCGGCCACTTAGTGTCCCCGCTGACCCCCTGCTCACCCCGGGCCCCTAGCCCGCTGCGATGGAGGCCGCCGCCCAGTTCTTCGTCGAGAGCCCGGACGTGGTCTACGGCCCGGAGGCTATCGAGGCGCAATACGACTACCGGACGACGCGCGTCAGCCGCGAGGGCGGCGTCCTCAAGGTGGGCCAGGGAGCCGGGGGAGGGGGCGTGCTGGAGAGCGGGAGATTGTTCAATGTCTCCAACCCTGTCTCTGCCGCGAGGGGAGAAGGGGATGGGACCCGGGGTTCACTGCGCGGCTTGTCTCCAGGTGCACCCCACGACCACGCGCTTCACCTTCCGGACCGTTCGGCAGGTGCCCCGGCTCGGGGTCATGCTTGTCGGCTGGGGCGGGAACAACGGCTCCACGCTCACCGCCGCGGTGCTGGCCAACCGACTGCGTCTGTCCTGGCCCACGCGCAGCGGCCGCAAGGTGGGGGTGGGAGGGGCGCGGTGGGCAAGGGGGCTCGGTGGAGTCCTTGCGGGCGGGGGCGGGAGCCTGCAGGCCGCAGGAGGTTGCAGGGGGCAGGGGGCTGCAGGGGGCGGGGTTCTGCAGGGCCGGCGGGGTGGGGGCTGCAGGGGGCGGGGTTCTGCGGGGCAGGGGGCTGCAGGAGGCAAGGGACCTTTCCAGGGGTGGGGGGTCTGTAGGGGGCGAGGGACCTTCCCGCGACTGGGGACCTGTAGGGGGCGGGGGTCTGTAGGGGGCGAGGGGCATTCTTGGGACTGGGGACCTGTAGGGGGTGAAGGACCTGCTGGGGGCGAGGCTCTGCGGAGCGGGAGGGAATGCAGGGGGCGGGGCCTGGCTGCGGGCGGACACCGAGGAGGTTTCGCGAGGTACTGGGGGCTCCTCGGGAGTCTTACAGGGGCGGAGTTTAAGGTGCCTGAGGCCTCGGGGGAGGGGCTTGGGGGCCGCGGCTTCCGTCCTGGCCGAGAGCCCGGAACTGAAAATGCCCGAAAGTGGGGCGGGGCTTGCGAGTCTAGGCGGGGCCCAGGCCTGGTCGCGGCGCGTTCACCACGCCCACTCATCACCCTGCCTTGTCTACTGCCCCCCAGGAAGCCAACTACTACGGCTCGCTGACTCAGGCGGGCACCGTGAGCCTGGGCTTGGACGCCGAGGGCCAGGAGGTGTTCGTGCCCTTCAGTGCGCTGCTGCCCATGGTGGCACCCAACGACCTCGTGTTTGATGGTGGGCGGAGCCCTGGGCTGGGGGAAGGGTGGCATGTGAGATGGGGGCTGGAGGGGCCCAGGATCCGGGCAGGGCCTAGTGTGAGGATGCCCCCCAGGCTGGGACATCTCGTCGATGAACCTCGCCGAGGCGATGCGGCGCGCGAAGGTGCTGGATTGGGAGCTGCAGGAGCAACTGTGGCCACACATGGAAGCCCTGCGGCCTCGGCCTTCCGTCTACATCCCCGAGTTCATCGCGGCCAACCAGAGCACACGCGCGGACAACCTCATCCCGGGCTCGCGCGCGCAGCAGGTCCTGTCCCATTCCGCATTCCGTGCTCCCTGCCACCTATTCTTCGCTACTTGGTTCCCCATTTTTGCCCGACCCCACAAGACTAGTCCCTACTTCACAGCCTGGGAACTGAGTGGTCCAGGTTCTGAGTCCGAGGGCACGTACAACCAACCTCCCCACACTCTCTCCACCCTCCCCACACCCTCTCCATCCTTCCCACAGCTGGAGCAGATCCGCAAGGACATCCGAGACTTCCGGTCTAGCGCGGGTCTGGACAAAGTCGTCGTGCTGTGGACGGCCAACACAGAGCGCTTCTGTGAGGTGGTTCCAGGTCTCAACGACACGGCCGAGAACCTGCTGCGCACCATTGAGGTGGGCGCACGCCCAGGTGGAGCGGGTCAGGCAGGGCCAGTCTCAAACACAAGTTCCGTGCTGACTGCCCACCTTGTCCACAGCTTGGCCTGGAGGTGTCTCCCTCCACGCTCTTCGCCGTCGCCAGCATCCTGGAGGGCTGTGCCTTCCTCAATGGGTCCCCGCAGAACACCCTGGTGCCCGGAGCTCTTGAGCTCGCGTGTCAGCGCCGGGTTTTCGTGGGTGGAGATGACTTTAAGTCTGGCCAGACCAAAGTCAAGTCCGTGCTCGTGGACTTCCTCATTAGCTCTGGCCTCAAGGTGCGTGGGCCGGGGGGGCTCCTGAGTGCAGGAAGGGGACCTGGGCTGCCAGCACCTGGCTTGTGGGGCCGCAGGGCCTGCAGCTGCCGGGGCGTCACTTGTACTCACAGACCATGTCCATCGTGAGTTACAACCACCTGGGCAACAATGATGGGCAGAACCTGTCGGCGCCATTGCAGTTCCGCTCTAAGGAGGTGTCCAAGAGCAACGTGGTGGACGACATGGTGCAGAGTAACCCAGTGCTCTATATGCCCGGCGAGGAACCCGACCACTGCGTGCGTGGGGCGTGGGCATGGGTGCGGGGTTTCCCAGAGGGGGGTGGCAGGGACCCGGGCGAATTCCTGCTGCACCCCAGGTGGTCATCAAGTACGTGCCATACGTGGGCGACAGCAAGCGCGCGCTGGATGAGTATACCTCGGAGCTAATGCTGGGTGGGACCAACACGCTGGTGCTGCACAACACGTGTGAGGTGCGACGCCACTTCCCGGGCTGCTGTGGGAGGCGGGGCTTGGCCACCCTTCTCCACCGCCTGACCCGCCCACCCCACAGGATTCCCTGCTGGCCGCACCCATCATGCTAGACCTGGCGCTGCTGACCGAGCTGTGCCAGCGCGTGAGCTTCTGCACTGACGCTGACCCTGAGCCGCAGACCTTCCACCCCGTGCTGTCCCTGCTCAGCTTCCTCTTCAAGGCGCCGCTGGTGCCGCCGGGCAGCCCGGTGATCAATGCGCTTTTCCGCCAGCGCAGCTGCATCGAGAACATCCTCAGGTGCGCCCCAGCCTCCAGGTTCCCGCCCGGGGTCCAGCTACCCCTTGGCTGAGCTATGCATAGGACCTGGAGGGCTGTAGGCCACAGGGACACCCCCCCCCCCACCTCCCCATCGGGTGTCTGGCTCTGCTGAGCTGTGTGGCCTCTCCAGGGCCTGCGTGGGGCTCCCGCCACAGAACCACATGCTCCTGGAGCATAAGATGGAGCGCCCAGGGCCCAGCCTCAAGCAAGTCGGACCCCTGACTGCTGCCTGCCCTGTGTTGAACAAGAAAGGACCGGTACCCATTTCCACCAACGGCTGCACTGGTGATGCCAATGGGCACCCACAAGTGGAGGAACCCCAGATGCCCACCACCTGAGGCCCTTGTCACACAGCTTTGCAGCCCTTCCTCCCCGCTGCCCCCCAGAACCCCTCCTTTCCAGGCCGCCCCAAAGACAATAAAGCCGCTGCCACTCTCAGCTTTCCTTCCACCTGGGGTTCTTGGGGCCTATGACCTGGCTCTGCCTTTCTCTACTTACCCAACTCTGAGCGCCCAGCTTCCCGTCCCAATCCTTCTGCCCATGGTTGCCACCCCAACTCCCAGGTAGCTTCAGTCTAACCCCCGGTTCTGAAGGTGGGGCTAAATGGGTGGGGTGGGAAACAAGACCACAGGGTGGACAGTGTGGTGGCCGAAGACCAAAGGGAATCTGAGACACGCTACCAAAAACCAAAACCAGGTTCTATTTATTGATGGGGCCCACCCCCTGACGTCCTGGGGAGAGGGGCCCCCCCAAAGAACCCTTCTTTCTGGAACAAAATACAAATGGCAGGAAGGGTCCATACAGAAAAGAACATCTCTGAGGTCCTTGCGTTTTTAATAAAATGATAAAAGTCTTTCCTGTGGGGCCTCCCAGCTGGGTAAGCCTTGATTGGCCAGGAGTCCAGGTGCCCGAGGTGTAACCTCAGCCCCTCGCCCTGAGCAGGAGCGCTGGGCAGAAGCCTAGGCCCGCAGAGGCCCGGGGCTGCCGCCCCATCACACGCTCATGGTCATCCCTGGCGAGTACTGCGGAGAGAGGAGGGGGCAGCGCGCAGGGGCCGGGCTTAGCTCCGGAAGAGGCTGGGACCCGCCCCCAGGGGACAATGGGGGACAGGGTAGGGCTGGGTCCTGGGCAGACATAGGGCGGGGACAGGAGGGAATGGGGGAGGGGCGATGCGTGGGGAGGCTGCCCTGGGGCGCGGGTCCCGGGGTGGGGACGCAGGGGATCTGGACGGTGAAACAGGAGCGGGAGGTGGTGGGGGGATGGAGAGAGGTTAGGAGGAGGGGAAGGATGCCGCGGCCGCCCCCCCACCTGGCCCGCCGCGGTCACGGTCTTGCTCTGGCCCCCCGGCCGCCCCGCCGGGGCCTGCCCGCCAGGCCCCTCCGGCCCGACGCCGCCGCGGGGGGAGAGTCGACGCAGTCGCTTACGCTTTCGCTCGGGAACGGGTGCAGGAAGGTCCCGGCGGCCGCCATCTCGCCGTCGTCCCGCGGGGTGCCTGGGGCGTTGCTCAGGCCGGCCACGGCGCCGGGGGAGCTCTGGGGGCGGCCGCCGTCAGCGCGGAACTCCCTGCCCGCCCCCCCCCCCCCCCGCGACCAGCCCCCAGCAGGAGTGCGTCCCCCTCACCTTCGGCAACCCGTCCATATCGCCCGAGCCTGCGAACCGACACGAACACCAGCTCAGACATGCTGGTGCCAGGCCCCCAGGCCTCCAGGGTCCGACGACCCTAGGGAGCTTCCCCCGCCACCACACCCCGCAAGAAACCCCAGGACTGAGGCTAGGTGGAAGATTGTGCATTCACTGGTTTGGTCGCCGGATACCCCCAGCTCGGGGCAGCCACAGTCACTGAGCGGGCCCCCTCCCCCCTGGGGGGCTCAGGGCGCCACGCGATGCCTCCACCAGACAGGCAGGCTGGCAGTGGGGGGAGGCAGCCAGGGGCGCATGGGCCGGGGCCGGAAGCAGCCTGGGCGGGAGCAGGGACTTCACTCACCCAGGGATCCGTTCACGTGGTGTGGCTCCATCGCGCTCATGGCGGCCATGGGGCCCTCCGAGCCAGGGCCGATGGGGAACTGCAGGCATGGGGACAGCATGGGACTTGGGCCACTCATCCCCCGAGTGGGATCGCTGCTTCAAGAAGCACCCCCAAAAGCCCCCACTCACATTAGCCCTGCCGGCACCCTGCCCCATGGGGTTCATGATGGTATACATGTTCTCGCTGGAGTTGGTGGAATCTGGGGGAGACCAGGGGACAGGAAGGGTGCTGAGTGCAATGGGGCTTCCCCCAAGCACACCCACCCTAGCACAACCCCACCCCTGTCTAGGCTGTACCTCCAGGGCTAGGCATGATGGGTGTTCCAGGGGGCCCACCTCCTCCTGGGGGTCCCTGCACACAGAGGGAGACAGGGACTGTGAGAGATGGCCCCTCATCTGCCATCCTGCAGCCCCTGCCCAGGGTGACACAGCCTTGCTCAGACTCACCGTGTAGCTGCCGGGGGATGAGGAGGAGTAGGGGATCTGGGGACAGGGGCAGCTGTGAGCAGTCAGCCAGGCAACTCACCCAGTGCCCCTCCCACCCCACCCCACCCCATGCCTGCCCACCTAGCCTTAGACTCACCGAGTTTCCACTGGGGCTGGCCCACGGGCCTCGAACTCCTGGGCCCCTAGAAAAGACCATGGGTGACAGACCCTGGGGCCAGTCCATGTGGATGACCACCACCACCACACCCCCCACCCTGCTCCACTGTGTCCCCAGACAGGCGGCAGAGCAGCAGGCGCTGAAGTGGCCAGCATGAGCTTTCAGGTTCTGATCCCAGCCCATCACTGGCCCTGGGGAACTCTTGCTACCTTAGTCCTCAGTTTCCCCACTCAACAGTGGCCATGAAATAAACAATATCCAAGGCTGTCCTGAGGGTTCAGGGCCCGTCCCAGCTGACCCAGCCATGAAGCTGGTGGTGGCCTGTGAGCTGCACACTCCTGGGGTCCCGGGGGCCTTACATGTTCATGGCAGGCAGGCCTGGGCCGGCAAGGGAGTTGGGTGGGGGCCGCATGCCACCTCCGTAGCTCTGGGGAGGCAAAGGGGCGGTGAGGGACAGACCAGGAACAGTCCGAGGGCCCCACCCACCAGGGCTCCACTCTTACCTGGGGCCCGATGCTGGCCATGCCCCGAGGAGGCGTCACCCTCTGCATTGGGCCGCCCATGCTCGGATGCCCTGGGGTGGGGCAGAGGGAAGGCACTTGGACCTGGACCACTCCCCAGCGTGGACAGCTGGGAGGCAGCAAGGTTGGAGTGCCTAGAGCTGGAATTCTGCCTAATGGGCAGACAGGAGGCAGAGCTTCCCTACTCACCCTGGGCTCGTGGGGAGGGCTCCATGGTGCCAGGGAGAAGGGGCTGGGAGCCAGGGAGGCCTGCGGGAGGCTGCGGAGGGGGTGTAGCAGCACTGAGTGTGGGGTGCTCCCTCCCCGGCCCAGCTTCTGCCCCCCGCTCCCCTCATCCCTTTCTCACCTGACTCGGCATCCGCAGGGTGGGCCGGGGGCCCCCTGGGAACCGCGGTGACATGAAGGGCTGGAAGAGGTAGGTGGGGATCAGCAGCTCCCCCCACCCTCCACCCCCAAAGCTACCCTGTTTCTGCTTTCCTGGGGCCCCCAGCCTGGGGAGACCCCTCCTCCAGAACCAGCCAGCAAAGCCCAGCCAGATGGCTCCAGCCAGGGCACCATGCCATGGGGGCGGGAGGGGGTGGCGCTGGGGGAGGGGATGTGTGTGTATGAGGGGCAGGCGCCACAGCTCCTTACCTGACTGTGAGGCCCCATCATGGGGGCATTGGGGTTGTGGGGGGGCGGCTGGGAGCCGGGGGGGCCCTAGGAGGACAGAACCGGGTGGGTTGCAGGAAGTGAGGCCCTGCTGGGTCTGGCAGAGGAGGGGAGGGGCTCCATGGAGGCAGAGAGGTGGGCCAGCCTATGGCCCACCCTACAGGACAGAGACCCTGTGGGAAGGCTTGAGGGCAAGGCTCAGGCACCAGTGATCACGAGGACCACTGTGCCCACGCATGTACAGGCCAAGCGCACAGATGCTCACCCTCCACTATACTTGGGTCTTCCCTCACTGGCCCCAGAAAGGCCCAACTGGGCACACCTGCCTCACAGAGGACCCTCCCGCCCAACTCTAGCCTGCCGGCCTCATAAAGTCTGCCCACATGGGACCCCCACCCAGAGTTGGAGGCCAGGAGACTCCAGCCCTGGCCATACCTGGAAGAAGCCTGCCGCCATGGGGCCTGCAGCCATTCCGTCACCTGGGGCCAGGCTCCCCATCACAGGGCTGGGGGCTGCAGCGCTCTGCAGGGGTGCGGGAAACCAAGGGCCAGGTCAGGACATTTAGACACTTCCTATTAGGCCTGGGGTATGCCCCCTCTTCTCTGCAGGTGGCTGGCCCCATGAGACAGGGAGCTGGCCTTGGGCAGTGCGGCACAGGGACTGTTGGCCTGAGGATCTGAAGACCCTGGACCCAGAGCACCTCTCATCTCACACAGGCCTGCGTCGTCCTGGCCGGCAGGGCAGGGCAGCTCAGCTGGCTCCCAGCTCTACCCGGGACACCCCACATATACACAGATCTACCAGCAGTTTCAGAGGAGCTTGCCTGAAGGCTCTTCCTTAGAGCTGCTGTGGCTCCGGCCCCGCCCCATCCTGCCTCTAGGAGCGGGGAGAAGAGCAGGATTCTGGGGTGGTGTTCCCAACCCCCAGCTTCTCCACAGATGGAGAAGGGGAAAAGACAGGGTGCTAGAGCGGGGGCTTCCTATCTGCCAGAGATTCTGGTGCAGCCCAGACCTGGCCTGGGACAGGATGAGAGGCCACTCTGGCTGGCTCCCAGTCCTAGACCTGTGTGCTCTGGGGAAGACGAGGTGGGGAGGGAGGCTCAGTCTATAAGGGCAGAAGGACACATGTGGAGACAGGGAGGGAGGACTTCTCTCTTGGCCCGGCTCTGTGTGGTCCAGGCCAGGCCCTGAATCCCAAGAGGAAGGGGATGGGCTCTCCGGGGTTGGCCCAAGCCAGCAGCACACAGGCACACTCTGGCGTTTGTGGCATGAACTGCAGCCATGTGGGCTCAGAGATGTTGGGCACTCTGCCTGCAGTCTTGGCGTTTCCTGTCTTCAGGTATTGCTGCAAGGGCCCCCTGGCTGGAGCAGGGCCCCTGGAGAAATCCTCCCTCCCCGTGTCAGGCAGCAGGCTGCCCCCTTCCTGCCCCTTCTCTGAGATTAGCTTCAGGCCTCCTGCCAGGGCCCTAAAGTGGGGAACGGGGTGGAGGCAGGAGCTCCCCAGCACACCACTACAGAGAGCACTCCTAAGGCCCAAAACAAATACTTCGAAAGCCCTTGTGCCCGCTCCTGTGCCACCTTCTCAGTTCAAAACTGCCAGGTCCTCTCTGGGCTCTGGCCCCCACCCCGCCGCCTTCCGCCAACACAATGGCCTGCAGCAGCTGCGCTCCCAGGTGGCTCCTCTGGTCCACTCCGGAGGGTGGGGGGGGTCGCCTCTGTGCCCTGTGTCTGTCCACCACGCAGGGAGGGCAGCCCCCTCTCGGGCCACAGCAGACGCCTGAGTTTCCTGGTCGGGGAGGCTCCACTGCAGCCTCCCTGCCCCCTGCGCCCCTCGGCCTCCAACTCTAGGCCCTGAGTTAATCCCAGGCAGTGCGCCCTCCCCTGCGGTTGGCCCGGGCCGGACCCCCTACGTCAATCATCCCTGAAGAGGAGACGGCCCGGCCCACGTTGCCATGGCGATGGGCTGGGCGCTCCAGTGTTTCCTGGAGACGCCAAGGTCGGCCTGGAGCCGGGGAGAGGCAGACGGAGCCCCCCCCCCCTCGGAAGGTGAGAGGAAGGGGCCGCCTCCGTGCAGGGTCAGCAGGCCAGGCGCCCCCAGTTAGAGCGAGAGCAATAGAGGGGCGGCCCGGCAGGATGGGTGCCCATGGGGATTTGGTCACCCCAGGGCTTGGGCGGCCTCCGCCCTGGGCCCTGCGGTCTCTGCTCCGCGCCGGCGCTGCCATGGTAACCGCCGCGCGCCTGGGAAGCGCGTTCACGCCGACTTGCCAGCTCCGCCCTCCTGGCCCAGCGGGGGTGCCCAGAGAGGCTGCTAGACCCAGGCGGCAGGCATGGGGGGAGAGTCGCTCAAGCCCACAGCTCCAGACACCCCTGGGGCCCCAGATCCAATGGGGTTGGGACAAGGGGACCACACACGAGCAGTGGGGCACCATAGGGGTGAACAGCAGTAACACCAGGAGGGCTTCGGCATGCACGGCTTCCATATCGCGTGGAGGAATCTTCAGAAACGCGGGCGCCCCACCCCTCCCGCCCCTCAGGCCGCCTCTGCCTTGCTGAGGCCTGCGCTCCCGCGCACAGTGGGCAGGGTGTGGGCAGGACTGGCGCCCTCCAGACGCCCGCCGGCAAAGCCGGCACCTCCCCCTCAGACCCAACAGAGGGGGCCAGGTGGCCCAGCGCAGAGGATGAAGGGAAGGGCTGCCATCTGCTGCCCCATGACAACAGGAGGCCACCATCCCCTTGGTTAGCCCGGCAGCCTCCACTCCATACCGGCCTCTGATCTCTTCCAACCCGGAGGGAAAATGACAGCAGAAAGGTAGAGTGGGCAGCTCCAAGCACCCGGCAAGGTCAGGAAGTGTCCCAGTGCCTGGCCCATCAGGCACCCCCACCTGGCTCCTAACTCAGTGGAGCAGCGGTGACCCCCCAACACACACGACCGAGGAGGGTGAAGGCAGCGAGCTTTCCCCATCTCCACACAAGCTCACGTGAGGGCAGGGAGATGGCACCCCCAGTGCCCTGAGAAGGGTGGGAGGGCTGTGGGGACCACAGGGAGCGCAGTGCAGTGGAAAAAGCTTTTCCTTACTCTGTGAGTGACCCTGGACCAAGGGGAGGGTGGAGGGACCCCAGAAGGCCAAGAGCCTGAGTGACAGCTGCAGCTCTGTCTGTCAACCCAAACTGCCCCCACCCCCAGCCCTCCTCTGGCTGTACAGCCCCCCATCCTGCTTCCCACCCTGGAGCCCAGCCCCTGGGGTGGGAACTCACATAGTCCTGGAAGGCCTTGGCCTCGCCTGAGTGCTCACAGGCCTCTCTCCGGTCGGGCGCTGCGCAGTACAGGTCCCAGAAGACGCTGTGGTGGTCAGGGGAGGACGTCTGCTCTACACGCCCCCGCCCCCGGCCCCCTTCCACGGCCCACCCACAGCAGCCCTGCACGCACCACCACCAGGAGTGCAGGAACCCGGGGGGCTCCCCCAGCGTGATGTTCTTCTCCCATCGGATCTGCAGGAAGAGGGAGGAGGTGAGGGGCTGGCCCTATCTGACCCTGCCCCCCCCATGTGGCAGGGTGCCCAGAGAACATCTGGGCAGGGAGGGAGTGGGGAGGGGAGGGTAACTGGGTGGGTGGAGGGCCCCAGGATGTGCAGCAGGTCCCCACTGGGCATGCAGACCAGAAGCCTGGATGCCAGCCCAGGGTCGGATCCCACCCAGCCCTCAGTTCCCAGAGCCTTCAGAGGGGCAAGGGCCCATCCCCAAGGTCCCCAGTGGAAATGGAAGAGGACCACTGGGTGTGGACGGGGAGGGAGGGCCAGGATGGAGGCAGTGGCTTACCTCAGACAGGAAGGTCTGGGCTGACTTCTGGGCGCCGATGTGCAGCAGGTACTCGTAGACATACAGCGCCAACCTGTGGGGGCAAGGCGGCCCAGGGGGCTCAGGCCCCACTCTAAAGCCCTTCTGCCTCTCGGGAGGGCGGGTGGAAAGGTACTCTCCCCACCAGCTGCTCAGCAGAGACAACTCTACTCATCTGTCAGCATCCTTCGGGCTTCTCCCAGGCATCCCTGACCCCAACTCCAGGACGAATTCGGTTCCTTTCAGTGCGCCCTCGGAGACCAAATCCTGGCCCTGTCCTGCCAATGCCATGCCTCCAGAGGCCTCAGTAGAGGAGTGTCACTCCTGAGTGTGTGGGGGGTAGGGACAAATAGTGGGCTCCCTGGGCCGTGTCCTGTGCTGAGGGCCACCCCAACGCATCGCCAGCCTCGCTGGCCCAGGAGGGAAGGGCCCCCCCGGCCCCTGGACCCCATCTCTTCCTTGGGGTGGCTGCCCATCCACTGTGGTGGCCTCAGTTCTTCCAGCAGATGATCCCCAGCCAGGGCAGTGCTGACTGCGGGGCGGTATCCAGGGAACGGAGGTGGGGGCCAGGGCCGGTAGGGCCCACAGTGCCGCATCTGCCGCCCTGCCCACATGTACAGAGGGCTCTGTGAGTCCCCAGCCGCCAGGGACCCCTGGACTCACCCCCTCAGCCACTGCCCTCCCCAAGAGCTGGGACCTGGGCCACCCTTGACCAGCCAGGGGGCTCCAGCACAGCCCTCTTCAGGTCACAGGGGAAGGCTGGACCGTCTGCCTGGCTCCAGTCCAGCTGCCACGCCAGAAAGCAGAGAACAATCCCCCATCCAAAGCATTGCCCAGTCCTCTGGCACCAGCCCTTCTGGACCTCTCTGGATCTGAGGCGCCCCCATCGGAGCCCTTCAGAGCCCTTGTACTGCACAGCCAGGGACCCATGAGGGCCTGCTCTGGGCTTGGGGGAATCTGGGATTCAAGACAGGGTTCCGGAGAGCAGGCCTGAGGCTGAGCCCTAGAGGCGAGAGGCAGGCAGGCAGGCAGGCCTGGGGGCCCTTCCAGCCGCCTCCAGCTCAGCTGTGCCGCCTCCCTGGCTGCCGGCCCCATCCTAAAATAACCTTCCTTTGACTCACACTCTGCTCCCTCCCAGCCAGGCTGATCCAGTCCCAGCACCCACCACCCATCACGCCCCCCAGGTCCCTTTCAGACTTCCAGCCCTCCTGTTCCTCCCCAGCCCCCGTGGGCGGTGCCCTTGCCCAGATCTCATCCTGCCTCCCCTCCTTCATTCATTAACTTCATTCATTCCTCTGGCATCATGGAGCACCCTTTGTGCAGTGCACACACCTGGCGCCTGTCCTGGAGGCCACGTTCTTGAGGGGACAGACAGAGACAGGCAATGCGAGTGGAGGGGTGAGCTGTGTGGCCCCGTGGAAGGTGCTGAGGCTACAGAAATGCAAGGGGGCAGAGCAGGCGGCCCAGGGCGGGGCATGCCAGGCTCACACTGCACCACATGAGCAGTGATGGCCACCCCAGAGGCAGGGAGGGGGCAGGACACACAGTGCCCAGCGGTCACCTGGCATCATCACACCACTTTGGAGAGAACCCCCCAGCCCATGCCCTGCTAGATCCTGACCCCATAGCCCTCCAGTCTCCCACCCCCGCGCCTTCCTCCACTGCCTGCAGGGCCGCCTGTCCAGCCCACTTCTGTGGTACCCAGGCCCATCTAGAGGCTTCTGAGCTTTCCCCTGTGCCAGCGGCTGACAGGCCTGCGTCCATCCGTGAAGGTAGCACACAGGCCAGGGTGGGCAGGTTCAGGGGGACAGACCGACCAGCCTGGGGAGCCTAGTGCCACCAGCCATTTCCCACCCTGGCCACTTGGGGGTCCGAGCAGGGGGCACAAAAGGCCAGAGTGGGGTAAGACAGAGTCTCAGGAATGCTGGTGAGCCACGCCCAGGGGCCGGCTGTCCAGGAGGCCTAGGGGGACTCCTGAAGGAGAGAGTGGCCAAAAGCTTTACCTGCCTTCCTTCGTCACCCCTTCCCTGACTGTCCCCATCAGCACCTAACCCAGGAGGCAGCCCCAGAGCCCACCCTGGCCTCACTACCCGCTCCTGCTGTCCTCCTGCCTCCAGCCTCGCCGGCTCCCCATTCTGTCCTCTCCTCTCCCTGGGTGGTTTGCCCAGCCTGTTTGGATAACGCCTTCAGGTAGGGGCTGCCCAGAGGGTGCTGTGGCCCGACTTTCCCCAAACTAGGGATCCACTGTTCACCTGGAAGCTATAGACCCAGCCTCGACACCGGAGCCCAGCACCCCTTCCCCATCCTCCCCTCTCCCTGCCCAGAGGCCGTCACGGAGATGTCCACACACACACACACACACACACACACATCTCATCCAAGGAGCCTCTGGTGGCCACGCACAAGTGTGCACCTGCCTGACACCCACCCAGCTGTCCCCAGACATCACTCCCTTTACTGAATTGAGAAGAAAACACTGAAGGAAGTCTCTCTCCTGATTCGGGCCCCTCTCCCCACCTCCACTGCACACCTGGGCTAGGCCACCCACCGTCTCCCACCTGGGTTATGAGAGTCCCCTCCAGGCGCTGCTCCTCCATACCCCCACGCTGCTTGTTCAAACCCTCCTGTGCCCCCCGCACCCCCACAATGGCTGCCCTGCCGCCCCAGGGCCTCTGTGCACTGTTCCCCTGCATGGGACACTTCCGCCCAGAGACTCCAGTGTCACTTACCAGGGGCTTCCCTGTCACTTGGAAGCCCCCACCTGTTCCATGTCTCCCCATCTGACAGTCTCCACCTGTGGCCCCCACTGGAATGTGGCTGGAGGTGGGGCGGGGACTTGGAGTCTGCTCACTGCAATGCCCTTAGAACAGAGCTGGGCATCCAGGACCCTGTCACTACAGTGAATGAACAAACCACCCGGGACCCCTCCTGGGATGCCAGGACCAGCTGGGCCACAAGGTGAGCACTGATGAAGGCCGGCCACTACTCTATCCACACCGAGGATTTGGGAATTGATCCTGGGAGTGAAGGGAGGCTAGGGCTTTCGGTTTTGCCGATTTCCCTTCCATGGTGGTCCTTTTATTTTATTTTATTTTATTTTTTGAGATGGGGTCTCACTCTGTCACCCAAGCTGCAGTGCAGGGGCGAGATCTTGGCTCACTGCAACTTCTGGGTTCAGGCGATTCTCCTTCCTCAGCCTCCCGAATAGCTGGGATTACAGGCGTCCGCCACCACGCCCAGCTAATTTTTTTACATTTTTAGTAGAGATGGCATTTCAACATTATTGGCCAGGATAGTTTCGAACTCCTGACCTTGTGATCCGCCCACCTTGGCCTCCCAAAGTGCTGGGATTATAGGTGTGAGCCTGCTCACCCATCCGGTCCTTTTATTTTAAACAGGATTCAGTCTCAGGGAAGAACTGTGGGTTGTGATTGTTTGGGGTAAAATGTTTGGAAGCCTGGCTGTTCAGCCAGGGAACCTGGGGACCTACAAGGTCCTCACCTCCCAGAGGACTGCTTCAGAGGCCAGGTCTGGGGGTGCCACTGGTTGGGGCCCTGAGCTCAGTTATGGGAAAGGTCTCTGGATACAAATCACCCATGCCCCCTGCTTCCTAGCAGCCACCTGCTCCAGGGTGGCACAACCTCTCAGGGCCTGCCTATGAGGGTTCCCTGTGCCATACAGGCACGTGGCCAGAAAGAAGCATGGGGAGGCACCTGGCAGAGCAGCAAGCAGCCTCTCTGCCAAGGAACCCGAGACCTGGAGGACATGGGGCGCCTGGACCTGAGCAAGCATGGTGCTGCAGGGAAGCAGAGACAGGATGGGGTGCTAGCACCTGGTGGCCTGAAAAGTTCCACAGCCACCGCCACACTGACGTGCGTTATCGTAAACACCGAGAATGGCCGCACTGGTGCTCCCTGCCCAGTGCCCTCCTGGACACAGATGCTGCTGGGGCGGGAGATGCCTGCCACTCGGGGCTTTGTGTCACTGTGTCATGTCACCAGGTCTCACTGCTGCCCCCAAAGGGACCCTCCAACCCTCACTGTCCTCCCTCCCCTCCGCCAATCCTAAAGGCCAGGCCCTTGGCAGCTTCTCGGCAGGGTGGTGCCTCTCTTTACCGCCCTCCACAGTTGCCCCTCACAGCCATTTCCAGCCAGGGGCCAAAATGACCACGTCCAGTCGTGAATCCCATCCCTGGCTTACCTGCCAGGCTAATGAACAAGCCACCGCATCCACGTGCCAGCTCAAAATCAAGCCGGGAGAAACCCACGAGCTGCCAGGAGACGCCAACCATGGCCGTCATTCATAGACCCCTTCTCACCCTGCCTGGCTGCACTGGAGGGTATACACAGCCCCGTCTTCTGCGAGTGGCCCACTCTGCCGCCCCCACACTCCACAGTCACCGCCATCTGCTGCAAGCCCCCGAGGGCAGGCACCCACCAGGTGCTCAGTTGCTTTCTAGAGGGAGCTGGCCAAGACCTAGCCTGAGACAGGGAGGCCGGTAGGCTCCAAGGGAAGCCAGAAGGGGCTGAGGATTGGGGCCAGAGAGAGACGGAAAAGAAGGCAAGACCTATTTTTTTTTTCTTTTTGTTTTTTTTTGAGACAGAGTCTTGCTGTCGCCCAGGCTGGAATATGGTGGTGTGATCTTGGTTCACTGCAACCTCCGCCTCCCCAGTTCAAGCGATTCTACTGCCTCAGCCTCCTGAGTAGCTGGGATTATAGGAATGCACCACCGTGCCCAGCTAATTTTGTATTTTTAGTAGAAACAGGGTTTCACCATGTTGGCCAGGCTGGTCTCAAACTCCTGACCTCTGGTGATCTGCCTGCCTCCGCCTCCCAAAGTGCTGGGATGACAGGCGGGAGCCACCGTGCCCGGCCTCAGGGCCTCATTTTTAAGAGGCAGGAGGCTTAGTGCAGGAAGGAAAGCACAGGGCTGGGAGCTGAGGTCTGGAGCAGTGTAACCCCTTCACCCCATTTCACAGAGGAGGAAAGCAAGGCCCTGAGGCAGGAAGTGGCTTGCCCGTGGCGGATACGTCCTGAGAGCTGAGGGGCTGCCCTGGCAGGTGCTCTGCCTGTGGGCTCCCACCCTGTCCTGGTGAAGATCCTGAAAGATAGGTCGTCCACATTTCAGATGAGGAAATGGGCCTGGGGCTGCCTGAGAGCTCATCTGTGTCAGAGAAGCTGAGTTCTTGCCAGGTGGCTCCCTCTCCAGGGCCCTGGTGTCCCCTTCTGTGAAATGGGCGGGGGGTGGGGGGTGGGGATGAGGCCATCTGGTGTTTTCCAAGCTTTCTTTCCCAGTGGAACGCTACCTCCAAACCAACACCTACATGGGACCCTCTCTGTGAAACAGAAGCACATAGGCCGGCTCTGCCTCCCACCAGCAGCTGAGGCACTTCCGAGAGCCTCGAGTCCCGAGGCCAGTATCCCCAAAACACCTCTGCTGGGCAGGTTGGGGGGTGGATGGACATCGGGGGAAGATGGTGGGGAATTCAGCTAATCCCCTCACCCTGCCACCCCTGGCTCAAACCTATGAATCTCTTCCTTCTTACCTTGGTCCAGGCTGCCATCAGCTGGGTTTTTGGGGCTTTCTTGAGATGGCCTTTCAGCCTGTCACCCAGGCTGGAGTGTAGTGGTGTGGCGTGATCTCAGTTCCCTGCAACCTCCACCTCTCGGGTTCAAGCGATCCTTTCACCTCAGCCTCCAGAGTAGCTGGCATTACAGGCACCTGCCACCATGCCCAACTAATTTTTGTATTCTTAGTAGACTGCCATGTTGGCCGGGCTGCCCTCGAACTCCTGACCTCAAGTGATCTGCCCACCTTGACCTCCCAAAGTGTTGGAATGATTATAGGCAAGAGCCACCAGGCCGGCCTCCCTAGCTGTCTTTCACACAGCTATGCCCTCATCCCCAGGGACTCCCAGCCTCTGTTTCTGACCCGTACAAGCCTCAGTCCACCTGGGAGCCAGAGCACACTTCTGCACACACAACCAACTGCAGCCCACCCGGCCCTCTAGCAGGCTGCCCCTTACTCCACCTGGGCTCAGCCCCAGCTCCTTTTCCTGGTCCCACCTCAGGACCTCTGCACTTGCTGACATCCCGTCCCCTCCACTATCACCCACTTTGCTTTCTCCAGGTAACTGGATACCTGCCTCCTGCTGGGGTGGGGGCTTCCTCAGGGCTACAGAGCCTGCCTTCCTGACCAGACTGTGCCTTCCCAACCGCCACACCCTGGGACACCCAGGGCAGAAACACTTAACCTGTGAACGATCTCGATTCCCACGGGTGAGTGGTCCCCTCCAGAGCCAGCAGCTGGCTGGAGACCTGGGCTCCAGGAGTGACCATGCCAGACACCTCCTGCTTCCAACCTGAGCAGGAGCCAAATGCGTTTCAAAAAGTCTTGGGCTTAAGGGTGCTTGGAAATGGAGCTCAACCTCCTAACTGCACACAGGCAAGGGAGGCGTCTTGGGCAGAGGGGACATTCATTTTGCAGAGGGGTGGGGCATCTCAAGTCAGCCCAGGCAGAAGAGGCAGGACGGGGGACACTCAGCCAAATCCAGGGCTTCTCTCCACCACCCAGACATCCCGGCCTGGCCCTCAAGGCGGGTCCTCTTGGGACCCCTCCCTGCTGACCCAGCCTCCTCTCTGCTTGGGTGGCCAGTTCCACACCCGGGGCCACTCCAGGCGGCTCAACTTCAAGGATTCTGCAAGTCCCCATCAGCTATGACAAGACTCCCCTCCTCCTGGGTACAGCATTGCAAACTGCCCCGTGCCCTCCCTGCGGGACGGTCACAGCTCCAAGCTCCCCACCTGGACAGCACATTCGGCTGCCTCCCCACACTGAGAGATCTCAGCCCCACCACGACGCTTCCTCCACCCGCGCGGTGGAACCTGTTCCTACCAGCTTGAGAGCTCCTGGTACCCACAGCCTGGAGCCACGCCCAGAACAAGAGGGATCCCCAATATGCACTCTTCGGTATCAAGAGAGGGGCTCCGTTGTCCCCACCGGCCCCCGGACTGTGAACTGTGCGGCTTCCCCAGGGGCCCCACACAGCTGCTGGGGCCAGGGCAGACAGGTGGCCGCGCGCCCCTCCAGCCGCCCTCCAGCTCTTCCCCAGGCGCCCGGGGTCCCCAAACCGCCACTCTCGCTCGTCCTGGAAATCTTCGCCTCCCTTGATCCCCCCGCTTCCGCAGCCTCGCGCACCCACGTCTCGGGGAGGCCTCGAGACCCCCGATTCCCGCTCGGGGATCTCGCGCGCCCCCTCAAATCTCGCGCCCTCGGGTTTCGCGCGCCCCCGCCAATCTCGCGACCCCTGCAGCCGGACCGGTCTCACGCGTTCCCTCCCGTCTAGCGCCCCTCGGGCCACCCGCCACCCCTCAACTCCTGCGACCCTGTGGGGTCTCGCGCGCCCCCAGCCAATCTCCCGCCCCTCGGGGGTCGCGCGCCCCCGCCAATCTCGCGACCCCTCGAGCGCGCTCCGGTTCCGTGAGCCCCGTCGCCCGCGCCCACGTGCCCCGCGCGCTGCCCGCCCGCGCCGGAGCCCACGGAAGAGCGCGGACGCCGAGCCCCGCCCCTGGCCCTGGCCCCGCACTCACTTCTCGCGGGCCTGGCTGTCGGAGGGCACGGCCGAACCCTTGCCCCCCTTGGCGTACATGCTGCTCCGCGCCGCCGCCGCGGGGGCCCACACCTGTCAGGCGGCGCCGCGGGCCGCGCTCGCCGTCGCCATAGCTACCCCGCGCCCCGGGCCTCACCGCCCCGAGCCCCGGGCGGGCACCGCGGACATCGTCCGCGCGGGGGAGCTCCAGACGGCCGCGGCGGCGGCGGCAGCTGCGGCTCCGGCGGCTCCAGCTCCGGCCCCGGCCGCAGGGTGGCTTTTTTTTCTCCCTTCCCTTCGCGTTGGCTGTTCCGGGAAGCGCGCGCTCCCCTCCTCCCGCCGCGCGCGCCCCCGCTCGCTGCCTCCCCGCCGCCCGCGGGCGCCGCTCTTAAAGGGGCGATGGCGGGCGCGCGGGTGGGTCCCCCGGGACCGCGGGTCGGGCGCGCACGCGCAGTGCCCGCCGCGGGAGTTGGGGGCGCGGCTACACACTCGCGGGCCGGGATCGGGGACGGCCACCCGCGGACGCACAGCTGATCGCGGCTGCACACGCGCGCGCGCACACACAGGTTCACTTACCCCAAATGGGGACAGCCACCCCAGCTGTTGTACACACCCAGCCACACACATTCGCAGCCACACTCAACGTAGCGCTCTACACAACAAACGTGTACCCCGCTGCTGGAACTACTTTGGGTTGCCCCCTGAAGCCTCAGGCAGTGACACTGGGTGTTGCACCCCGCAGAGCCACCCACGCTCAGCTCGGGTGGGAACCACCGCACACACAGCCCGCCCAGCGACACACATACACTGCCATATACTCAGCTCACAGTGGCCGTCTTGGAACAACTAAACGCAGGCCACCGCACACAGATCCACAGCCGCATGCAGACACACACTTATACAAGGCCATGCCACAGCTTCCAACGGCCGTGGACAGAGCCCACGCAGTTAACTCGCAGTCACCCTGGGACGCACTGTCACGGCCTCCTGAGAACAACACCCCACCCAGATCCATAGTCACATGGCCTGTGGACACTTAGCCAACCGTCCGCAAACACACAACCCAGGCACAGACACAAAGCTTCTATAGTACCCAGGCTGTGGGAGCCACCCTGCACCACCTCCATGTGACACCCAGTGACAATACTAGGTGCAGGGTGACTGCTGGCTGGGCTTCTCAGCCTCGGTGCCGTGAGCTGTAAATGGGGCTCATGCCACCTTTGTCAGCGGGGGTCAGGGTGCAAGCAGTAGGTGCCCTCTTCCACCTCTAGGGCCCTTCATCCCCCCCCAGCAAGGGTGTTTAGAGAGGGTGGGGCGGATACTGAGGCAGGAATCCCCGCAGGGCGGGGGTGCCCGGATACCCGTGGGTGGTGTGCGCCTGGGCAGGGTAGGGGAAGGCGGTGCGGTTGTGAATCTAGGTCTAGATGTTCGTTTGTCACGGCTATTCCTTTCTTTCCTATCCACGCCCGCGTGTGTGTGCAAACACGCGGCTCCTGTGTGAGTGCACGTGTGCGTCCTTGTGCGTGGGGGGGCTAGCAAACACCCTATGATCGCTGTCCCAGCGATGGTCGCTGGCTGCGCGGTGGCAGTTGTGGGTCCGCCGCGGTGGTGCGGGCCTAGCCGCCCAGTCAGGTTGTGTGCACAAGTGTGTGCGAATATGCACGTGTGTGCCTCCGCGCGTGGGTGGGCCGCCAGCTCCCTGCGATCTGTGTGTGGCTGTGCGGTGTGTGTGTGTGTGTGTGTGTTAATCTCTGGACATGTCTCACTGCCAGTTGACTCCCCAGAGGTGCCTCCCCCATAGAGGCCGACCCCCCAGTACGTGAGAAACCCCCTCACCCCCACCCCAAGCTTTCTAGCCGGCGGGAAGTCGGGAGCCGCTGGGGCTCCAGACCCGCGGAGAGGAAGAGAAGGGCAGAGCCAGCCCCAGCCCCGCCTCCTCCCCGAGGGGCCCCGGCACGGGAGGGGGGACGCCAGCCCTTCCCACTTCCTGTCCAGCCAGCCGCCCCCTCCCCCAGCTTCCTCTCTCGCGAGCCTCCGGGCCCCGGCAGGAGGGAGGAGGGGCCCCGCACACTTCCACAGGGCCTCGGGCTGGCGACGGCCCGGAGCCTGGAGGGCCACGGGGGGCGTGGGCTTCGGCGTCCAGGACACTGTCATCTTAATGACTGCCCCCACCACTGCTCCCCAGCGCCTACTTCTAACGAGGCACAGAGAGGGTGTGGCCTACCCAAAGCCACACAGAGCCTTGGTGACCACCGGGGCTCCCGGGCCCGGCAGATGCCCCTCTTGCTAACCTCAATTTAATCTCCCAAAGCTCCGTGGCTCCCCAGGACCCTGTGTGCCCTGGTTGGGTGCCTAGCCCCCTGTGAGCCACGGTTCCTTGGGTCAAAGTGAGTCTTCACCCCATTAAACATGTATTGAGCGCCTACTGTGTGCTGGGCTCCGGAGACCCAGCCGGGACACGTTGAAGCTCAGAATCTGCCTGGGGAGGCAGACAGTCAAAAGCTGGCGAGTCAGTCAGGCAATTTCAGGGAGTGCCACGTGCGTAAGAGGGAGGGGACCCCTGGTGACAGGGGTCGGCCGGGCTCCCGGGGGGAGGGCGGAGGCGGAGGGAGGGAGGGGAGGAGGGAGGAAGGCGGAGGCGCCGGCGGCCCCTAGAGCTGCGTTGGGGGTGGCGCGGAGGGCGGGAGCGAGGAGCGCGGTTCTCATGGCAACCGGGAAGGATCTCCAAACACAGCCTGGGCGCCGGCGGGAAAGTGCGAGGGGAGCGGGCCCCGGGTCCCACGCGGCGTCGGGGAGGCTGAGCCGCTCGCACTCCCAACCAGGGCGCACGCCTTGCGGGGGCAGAACCCGCGGAAAGGGCCCCCCACCCACGCGAGGGACAGGCAGGGCGGGGAGGAAAAATTATTAATAACGGGGAGGGGAGGGGTGGATTGGAAAGATTTGGGAGTGGAGCGTTCAGGCTGTAGTCACAGCAAGTGCTAAGGCTCTGAGGTGGGTACATGGCGCAGGTGCTGGACGCAGAGACAGGACGCAGCGGTCGCGGGAGCAGCGGGAAGAGGAGGGGGATGATGGCAGGGAGCGCCGAGAACTGGACCACGCCCAGTGGAGGCGGGGGTCAGATTTTTTTTCTAAGAGCCATAGGGAGCCATGGAAGGGTGTGGAGTGTAGAGAAGAGGTTGGGCTCTGCCTCACGAGTTTAAGAAGCTCCATGGGAGGCCGCACGTGGTGGCAGCCTGTGTTTGTAGTCCCAACACTTTGGAGGCCGAGCCAGGAGGATCCCTGGAGCCCAGCAGGCGAAGGCTGCAGTGAGCTGCGATCGTGCCACTGCACTCCAGCCTGGGCAATAGAGCAAGACCCTTTCTAAAAACTAAAAAACCTAAAAAGCTTCGTGGGGTTGCCAGCGAAATCAAGGTGGCATAAAGAAGGCAGGGAGGTTGCCTCGAGAAGGGAGGTAGACTAGGGTCCAGGGCCGGGGACAGGGCTGCCCTGGCCGAGCTGGGTCTGTTTGTTGGGGTGGGCAGTGGTGAGTCACCCACCATTAATGTCCCCTAAATACGGGTCAGGGTCTGTGCCTGGGGGAGTGGGGGCTGCCAGGAGAAGGCGGCGGTAATCTCTACCCTCACCCTGCATCCTCCCTGCCCAGTCCCACCCGGCAACCTTAACCCTAGGGGTTCCTGCCGCCTGAAACTCTGTTTCTCTGGTTTCTGGCCCGGCCATCGGAGGCTCCTCCTTCAACCAAGGGTTCTTTTTGGTTCTCCTGGTGGAGGAGGCCAACTCCTCCTCTTCCTCTCCCTCCTCTGCTTCCTCCTCCTCTTCCTCTCTCCTCTTCCCCCTTCTCTTCATCCTCCTGCCTCCTCCTCTCCCTCCTCCTGCTCTCCCTCCGCTTCCTCCTCCCCCTCCTCTTCCTCCTCCTGCTCTTCCTCCTCCCCCTCCTCTCCCTCCGCTTCCTCCTCCCCCTCCTCCTCTTCATCTCTCTCGTCCTCCTCCTCCGAGCCTTCCTTGGGCACTGCCTCCGCATGACTCTTTCTGCACAGTCCCTAGTTGGACCTGGCAGTGTTCGGATGAAATAACGCATCCCGTCCTCGGTTGGCCGCCTCCGCCTTCCTCTGGGTCCTGTCTCCTTGAGGACACAGCGGTGGGGAGCCCACGAGTATCGCAGAGGAGGCCAGATTAGGTTTTCCTGCTGGTGGTTTTTCCTCTCCATAGGAGGCGGAAGCGGCCTCCCTCCCTCCCTCCTCATTAAAGTGGGGGGCGGTCTGGGAGGGGCCAGGACCCGGGCTGGCGGCCCCTGTAAGCCCCTCCCCAGCCGTGCGTGGGAGGCAGCCACAGCTGGGAGCCGGGTCTGCGCTAGGAGACCGTTTCCTCTCAGAAGCTGTAATTATGGGTAATTTTCTAAATGCAACACAAAAATTAAAACCCAAACAACAGCAGGGTGGGAGCAGCCACAGCAGCTGGTGAACACGCGGGTAGGCCAGGGGTGGTGGGGTGCTGGGAGGAGCTGGGTCTTCAACCCAGGCAGGCTGGGGGTGACCAGCAGGGGCGAGGGGAGCCTCACTCCTGCTCAGCCAGGTAGGGTTTCTGAAACGGGGATTAGACCACAAGAACAATTGCCTGGAGGCAGAAATTCCCAGATAGAGGCTCTGGGCCTGGATTTGAACTTGGCGGTGCCCTGGCTCACTGTGTAACCTTGACTGGGAGACAGCTGAACTTCAGTGACCCCCAAGCCATTGGGTCATGCCACCAATCCCACAAGGCTGCGAGGGACCCCGGGTGACACAGCGGATACAGGAGGGCCTGGCTGAGGAGCCTCTGCCAGACCTACACCCTCCCACCCCCGTGTCCGTTCTCCACAAAGCTTAACCAAAGCCGGGTACACTGCTGTGCTTCTAGCACCTTCTGTAGCACCCACTGGCCACACATCAAAGCCCCACCTCTCTGCCCTGCACTTGAACTCCAGAGTCCAACTAACCCTTAGGAACTGTGCATCCAGCTTCAATCATCCAGTAACGTGTTCCTGCCAGACCAAAGAGGGAGGCCGCATTTCTAATTTTTCTTTTTAGAGATGGGAGTCTCTGTTGCCCAGGCTGGGTGCAGTGGCGAAATCATAGCTCACAGCAGCCTCAACCTCCGGGCTTAAGCGATCTTCCCGCCTGAGCTTCCCAAGTAGCTGGGACCAAAGGTGTGTGCCACCACACCCAGCCATCATTTCCTCTCCTCATTTTACAGATGGGGAAACTGAGGCTTGTAAAGGAACCAAGGATGTCATGTGAGCCACCCATAGGTGACACCCCACCCATTGGAGGGCCCCCAATACTCTGTCTGGTCTGGGAGACTCGAGGTGTCTCTTGGAAATCCCAGGTCTGGAAGGAGGGTCTGTAGCAGCTGCTGGTAGCTCCCTGTCCACTCTGGTTGA